GACGAGATATACCACAATTACCACAATCAGTCAGTCAACTCTTAAAGAAAGAACACGTGTCTAGGTATTAAATGATTTTTATGTTACTCTTATGTATTTTTTTTAGTCTGAGTTTTATACGCATGGTACGGACTTTCAAGTCCATAAAAATTAGTAATTGTATCACACGTAATTACAGAAATAATGTTATATATTGTAGAATAAACTAGTAATAACGTCATATTACGGCTACGGCGCTGGCGATATGTTGATCCTCATACGGTGTCCAGGAACCATGGGCCTCTATATAAATGTGCGAGTGGTTAGTCGTGGACCACTTACTCTGTCTAACTATCACAGTTGATGGTTGACTTACATAGCTTCATAGAGCGCCGAGTACGACGTAAGTAATGTAGTCACCGAGTGCTTGTGATACCGGTCTGGAGATGTACAAGAGAATACGAGAGAGATGTGAAATGAGACACGAGTTGGGTTTATACACTAAACAAAATACCACAGTAAATCATATATGAGAAGTAACAAGCACTATGAGCTAGGACATAATTACGCCAACAAAAATCTGGCTCTGAGAAATTCATGCAGTTGTCCACAAGAGCTCAGAGCACACGTCATAAGGCAAAAATACTATGGCCACAATAATTGGGCAGGTCCCCAAATATGACTAACTATGAAATTAATTTAAAGACTTATTATAATACAATGTAGTATTTATTTATCTAGCATCTACAATCATGAAAATGAAAATGGCGCTATTACAGACGCAGTAGGCGAACTAATAAATTGACACGAGAAATAGTACAGATTAACAAAGCAACAAAAGACTGCAGAAGAACTCACACAAAGCAAACACAGGAACGACAACACGAGGCAACATCAAAATAATTCGAGAAAGCAGTCTAATGAGAACTCAACCCACCAAGAGTCCGAAACACGAAATTATCAAAACAGAATAGTTAATAGAACAAGAACTACGTGCGTAACTCTACCTATTTTCAGGCAAATGGGTTGTGACTCTTTTGATGTTTTTCGTATTGTGATTCTCCATCTATGTTGAATATATAGTATATTAACGAGGCAGACTGATGGAGAGAGAATGCAACCACGGTATTGTCACACGCTGAGTGAGAGGATATGTAAATGCACGTCATAACACCGCTTAATTCCTCAGCAAGGTGATGAAAAGCAAGTTGGATGGAAGACACAAACTAAAATAAGAAGAAGTGAACTGAAGAACACTAAACTAGACTATCATAGATATGAATGTGTAGAAGCACATACATCTAATAAGGAGATCACAGAGAAGAAACTAAGAAGAAGTACTCAGTGAAATTAGAAGAAAGATGAACAAAGTAAGACACACATAGACAATGAAAAAAGAACAACAACACACACACAACAACAACAACACAACACAGATAACAACACAAACAAGCATCGATACCGACGGCGAGAAGAACGTGTGTTTTATTGATGGCTGAAGGTGCATATTGATGTAACATATTAATTGTGCTGTTTGGCGATGATGACGATACATGGAAATTTAAATAGTATTTTAAAATAAATTGCTCGAAATAAAATTCTCACCTAAATAGTAAATAATTTTACGAAGTAAATATCTGTCTCAGTTGTTTCTTTATCATGCAGAACTTGTAATGTTACATGCAAAAGATTTAGCGAATGGTTTTCGATAACAAAGGCTTCAAAGGCCGCCATATTTATTAGGATGCACCATCAACAAGAGCTACCAGTGTCCCGGATGTGTTGACGTCTCATCTATACTATAACTTTAAGAAAAAGTTTAGACATCAGAAAAACTATTGTTATTTGAGTATTTCGTATACTGTAACCAGAACGTTTCTAACAAGACGTTCTCGTAATAAATATACCGGCGAGTAGGGTATAATATTTTAATTGTCTACACTCTGCTAGACGAAGGCTTATCGGGATTTTAAAGACTATATCGCTACATGAAAAATTGTATTTAAATTACTGCATTGCACAGTTTCATGGTGAAGATCAATCATGTCGACGAGGTTGCAATTGATTCGGGATTACTGACCTATCTGCAGTGGGCACTTAGACCATTACTTCAACAATAGTAATATGTGAGTTCTAATTTATTTTTGTTTGCGAAAGTAGTATCTACTATAATTATCGCTAGCAAAGAGAAAATCTGCATATTGCATTTGCGTAATCCCATGTTCTCCTGGTTAGAACGTGGT